TTTTGTTTTACAATTGTATAAAACTGATTTGTTCACTGAAACATGTATATTTGTTATTATTTAATGAAATTGTGATCTCATAAGGGTAACAATGAGCATAGTATATCATAATAATTGTGCCACAACGGTTGATGACGCGACGGAAGAAAATGGTCATGCAAAAAATAAATTGATTGAATTGCATCTTATTGTAAACAAAATTGACAAATAACAGAACAGATTGTGGACGTGCCGGAGTGGTTATCGGGCATGACTAGAAATCATGTGGGCTTTGCCCGCGCAGGTTCGAATCCTGCCGTCCACGATATTTTCTAACGCATTTTTTACGTGCCAAAGTTTTATTTTTAATCTTTTGGGCTGCACTTATTGTTGTTCGGTTAATTGTAGCTTATCAGCCCATGTGCCCCTGCTCCGAAGCCCGGCCTGTTTTGAAGCCAAAAAAGGACAACGCTCGTGTCATTCAACTCGTTAACTAAACGAGTTGAGATCGGGCTCGTTTAGTTAACGAGCGGGGCTCGACTCGTTAGAAAAAAAAAAAAAATTATGTAAACTTTCCATAATCCGGCTCTTTAGACTCGAGTTCAATTTAGTAAGATTCGAATTTGACTCGTTAAATTAGTAAACAACTAGCAAAACAAACTCGAATTCATTGTACACCATTTATCTTTATTTTAATTTGAGTTTGTTCTCTTATTTACTTCCAGATATTTTACTCTGAATACGATTGACTGATACTTGGATGAGAAAGATACATATTAATTATTCTTACCAAAAAAATAAAAACAATAATCCTACCTATATATAATTCTCGAATGTGTTGAGCCTACGTGGCTGCTTCTGGTGCTTCGGATTTCTATTTGGCGAAGAATAATGCTTCGTAATTAGGTTTGGATAAATAATATTGATATATTAAAGGGGGGTGTATTTAATTGGGATTTATAAAGACTTTTAAAAACTTTTTAGGACTTTAGAAATCCTGGTGTATTTAATTTAGATTTCTCAAGACTTTTAAAAGTCTTGAGGTATTCAATTAGGATTTTAAAAAGTCTTACGAAATCCAGGTGTATTTAACTAATTTAAGGTTAAGATTTATAAGGACTTCTTAAGATTTGCTGGGATTTCTAAAGAAAAAAACATGTAGGAAATCCCACTACAAATCCCACCTTAGACTTGGTATTTTATAGGATTCTTTTAAAATCTGAAAATCCTCAAAAATCTTTAAATCTTAAAAAGTCTTTAAATGTCACTCGAATTCCGAAACGAATACACCCCCCTAATAATTAATAATCTAGGTTCGAGTATTCCATAAATATTATTTAGCTAACTTAGGTATTTTAATATCATTTTTACAATATAACCCTTTAATCTTTGTAATTTTACATAGTGAGGCACTAAGTGACTAATATATCCCTGAATTTTGATTTGTTTCCTTCAATAAGCTATTGAATTATAAATGTATTTTAAAAGTTGATAACTTTCGTATTTCTTATCGGTTTTACATATATAATATATCAAATTAATAAACTTTTGATGATCTTCGATTTGACATCCATATTGTATATATGAAATAAATAAATTATATTTATCCTTATAATAATAATAAATAATAATATTTATTAAAATTAATTAGAAAAATAAAAATATTTCTCAATTGATATATTTATGTTCAATGTAGTTATATGTTGTAAGTTAAAAAAATTATCATAATATAACACAGTAAGTTGCACAAATAAAAAGTATCATACTAAATATATAATAATATATATTTTTATAAAATATATTTAAATTTTCAATTATTTTTTCTCATTAATTTTACACTTTTTTTAAAAAAAAATTAGCAAGCACCCGTGTAATACACGGTGGTGTACCAGTAATAATAATAATAATCATAAAAAAAGTAAACCGTGCTCCAAGCCATTGGTTTCCCCTTTGTACCGTATAAAAATTAT